GATCAGGGCCCAGCATCGCCCCACAGGTGCAAGGGTATTGCTTTGCCGTATTTCCTACAAATGCAGCTACCGAGCATCATCTTTCCTTCGGTGGCTGTCTGAAGGGGATCGAAGGGGATCCAACTGTGCGCGAAGGCATTCCTCATGACACTGAAGACGGCTGTCGTACATTCCCTCGCTGCTGCAAAGGGTCCAGTTTGCGGCATGTCTTGAAGAAACGACACTGGAGCTTGACCGGGAAAATCTGAGCACACACCAACAGCGCAATAAGTGCTGGTACGAGATCTCCAAGGCACAGCCCCATTTCTTGCCATTTTCTCACTGTGTTGCTGGCACCAGGAGGCACCACTTGGGCGCCAACAGCGGCCGAGTTCGAACAATTCTTGGTTCGCAAATGGAAATCCTGTTGGGCCTCCGAAAATCTGGTCTGGATCAAGGAGCACCCCCCCGTCTGGGACCCCATGAATGCTTGACAGCGTCGTGAAATGAGGAGGACAGCCTGGGCCGCAGGTTGTGCCACGCGCGGGCGGCTGCCGGCGCACCGTCCCACCCTCAAGGCGTCTACCGCAGCGTCTGGCGCAGCCATCCCGGCGACAGTCACCCATCGATTCCCAGAATCCATTTCTGTTTTTTTCCATTTCTGTTTTTTTTCAGTTTTCTGATTGCGAGGGGTGCTTGTCGCTGATGATGCGTCTAAACAAGTGGTTGCGCCAGGTGGCGACCGGGGGCAGAAGCGAAAAGTGCTTTGGGGATCAGACGCAGGCGCGGATGGCCGTCCACGCGTGTCCAGACGTGTGACACTTGGAAGATGGGTATTCGATTGTATTCCATGCTGGATGTCGATGGACAAATCATTGACACCGCTTTTGCCCAGTGTTCGAGTGCCATGATGTTACAAACAGCTGACAAGCACCGCCAGGAGGGTGTCTACACTTAGGAACAACAATATGACTCAACGATCAGCCATATGCGCTCAATGATAGTCACTAAGGACACAGCCACTATCACAGCCCTGTCAATCGCCCAAGAGTTCTGAGCGTTCCGCTCTTGCACCTTCAACCACTCAGCTCCTAGGAGCTTACAGGACGATGGAAGTTACCACAATACGCAAATTCAAACCCAACAGGACTCCAGGGGTATTGCCGAGCGCTACCGAAGCGAGGCGCAACCCCAGCACTGAATTTCTCTCAGCTGCTTAATGCTCTGCCTAGCAGCGGTAATTCATCACCGGTCAACGAGGCGACTCCCTTCGCCGCCTTTCACAGCTGCTGAAACTTCGTTCAGTAAGCCGCCAGCACTTCAAAAGACTCCACGCAGCTTTGCCATCGTCGCGCACTGGTCGTTCACCAGAAACTTCCTTCCAATCCACTCGATAGTCAAATCGCAGGCGGCAAAGACGCCACTGGACAGCTGCCAGCACTCCGCCTCGTTTCCGTCCCCATAGCGTAGAGTGAACGCGAACGTTCCCTCCCCCTCGTCCGCCGCTCGCCAAGCCGCGGTCGAGTCCACGGCCCCGAAGATCCATCGGTTGGGGAGGCCTGAGCCGCGGATGGCGCCCCATGCCAAAGCGCCACCGGCCCTCGCCTCGCAGCCCTGCTTGACGAGAAAGGCTGCCTCACTCAGGACGAGGGGCGCGCCCAGCTCGCGCATTCCTCGGGCGGCCAGGTCTGGATGCACCTCGCCTTGTCGCGGGATGGGCGCCATCCATCGAGTGGGGATGTGGCTGGGCCCTGCCATCGCCCCCTCGCCAAACTCCCCGTCCGCGTCGCGACGCGCCGGGACCCAATCCGGCAGCCTGCTCCTCTTGACCCGCGCCATCAGCCCATCTTTCAGTGCTTTCCGCGGTGAAACGGCAGCGTCGCTCCGTTCGGACCAGTCGCAGGTCGCGGGGCGCGGAGGCCTTGTGGGCGCAGGATGCGGGGATGTGACGAACGTGTACGACGCAGTACAATACAAAAATTACCAAAGGGCAGTTTCCCATACAGTTGGTAAGCAACAAAGTATTGTCAGCAGCCGCACACCATGTCCCATCACGACTCACTGAACCCTTACGTCCTGTCAGTACCTGTCCTGTGAAGGTCTTAGGACCTTTTGAAAAAGTCCAGGTCCGTTGAATGACAACCCCTACGGTCCATGGCGTCCTCAAAAGGGGCCAGAATTTGGCCTTCTTTCTCTGCGAAAGTCACCCAAGAGCTCCCTACGAACAGACCAGCCTTTTTTCAAGGGTGCTTTCCATCGGGCCTGTACACACTACGGCCCCTTTCTTTCCGTCTGATGTACCTATAGCCTCAATTCTGTGTACTGGAAATGAGTGACTCAAAACTGTATTGCATCCCGTCAACCTAGGGGTCCAACCAAACTAGTTACTGCCCTTTTCCTTGGCAAAATGACAGCGCAGCCGTAGCTGACCGTGCTGCCCATCGACTGGCCTTAAAATGACCCAAACTACACAGGTTGGGCTGGCTCTGATTATCCCAATCGCAGAGTCACAGAATAAGGGACATCTAAGCCTAGACCGCTTTGAGTCAACCGTACTGGAATGTAGCTGACTGCGCACACGTTTTTTCTTGAGTACGGAGCAGTGACAGGACTATCAAAATCAGCCATCTTAGTACGTTTCAAGGGAAAACTGGCCAACTATGTCCGTACTCTTTCCCACCATCTTTTACTCGATTACAGCGATGGCCATTAAATTGAATAGATTGAGCTGTAATCGAACACCAGCTAAACAGGAAGCCGAAGGCAACCTCCTCCCTTTAGGAGTGATACGCTGTAACAATGACGATACCGCTACCACCCCTGCGCCGGCACCGTTGTTTGCCCACACGACGAGTCCAACCAACCCCCAGGAAGCCGAGTTCTTCTCCAGAGATTTCTGGAAAAGAATAAAAAAACTGACTCTCGGCATTTGAACCCTGGACAAAAAATCGCGCCCGTGCGCACCCAATCCCGCACCTCGAGGAAGTTGGCCCCGCTCTTTGGCTGTCCGCCCGGACACCCCGCACGGCCGCCCCCCGCGCCACCCCCCGGTCGGCCGCGTCTCTCGCGCACGCCCCGCCGCGGGCATCCCTCGGCGCCGGGAGGCGCGCATTTCGGACCCGAGTCGTTCGGAACAGGCCGGCGGCAGCTGGCGGGCGGCCACGGCGCGGCGCCTCTTGGGACAGCCTCACTGGGCGGGGACGACCGGGGCGCGAAGCAGGTAGCGGTGCTGCAAATCACGCTTTAGGGGGATGGGGGCGTGGCAGTGCACCGTAAGCGGCACCTGGGAGCCATGCGGGAAGGTCGGTGGCGGTGTGGGACCGGCGCGGAAGGCCACGGTGGGCAAGTGTCCGCAGGGCGTTGTGTGGACGCCGGGCTTTGATTCCAGGCGGGGCTTGGGATGGGATCCTGCCGGGCGTCGGAGAGGGTGGGTGCGCTCGGGGGGTCGGTGTGGTGGCGTCTATTCTGGGCGTGTTTAGGTGGCTATTCTGCGTGCCTGGTCGGCCAGTGGGACTGCTGAGCCTTGATTTGGCGGGCATTGGGCCGTACCAGGGGCGATGAGCAACGCAGCCCCGAGGCTTGGACGTGATGCCTGCATTGAATTTCGTTGCCTGTTGTGGCAGCAGGGCCCGAACTGCCGCCCTCTGGGCGCCGCGGACTGCTGCTGTCAGGCAATGGAGGGCTCAACAGTGGAAGCCCCTGTGGATCTGTGCGATGTGAGTGTCCCAACTTGCTTAGAGACTGTTGGCAGGCGGCCCGCCTTTGAGCGACACCTGTCCCTTGTGGGTGTGATGTGTACCAGCCTCTCCAAACTCCTGCTCACAACCAAATTTGGGTGCGTTCATTGTGCTCTCTCAATAGCTACCATCCCATAGTCAACGTTGTCTTCTCCTTGATACTCTGTCCTGAACGCTGTGAGGCTGTGGCCTATGATAGGACTCCATCATTTCAGCACTAACACAGTGTACAACTGTGTTTTGTTGTATGTAGTTTCATTTTTTGTGCATATGTAGAGCCCGTGCTGGCTTCCATTGTGTTTTTTGCCATGCGGCCAGAACGACATCCTGATGGTTGGTGCATTTATCTTGAGGGACTGTCCATCAGGGTCGGCTGGTGTAGGTTCAGGGGAATGTACTCGAATTTGTATTTTGGCTGTGGCTATTGCCTCCCAAACTCCTGTGCAAGTGGCTAATGCCCTTTAAAGCTGCAACGGGACATTAGGCAGTCGAAGGCCACTACGCTATGCGTCTCAGATGCACAGGTTGCCAAGCAGAGTGGCCACATGCAGAGATTTGCGACGTGGCCTATTGTACATCATGTCACTAATTCCATGTCACAGCCAACATTGGAGTAGAAGAAGACGTGAGCAACGCCTCCAATTGAAATCAACAAGTAACACCTGCCTCCTATTCTGCCTCTGGCAGCGCAAAGTCTTGTATGTGTCAAGGCAGATAGTGCAATGTGCTGTCCAAAGCACATATCAGCCAGGTCACATTTTGGCTTCCATTAAATTAACTTGTCACGGTAAAACTTTCCTCAAGTGCAGCCTGAGTACTGGTTTAGTGGAGAGGACAGGAAACCCACAGCACAAAAGTGCAGGTGTGGAAAAAGGCTGCAAGGGAAGTTGCTTCAACCATCCCACATGGCAGCACAACCCTCTACCAAAAGATGGTGTGTATTCCACAATAGCAACAAAAGCTTTGACTGAGGCTAGTATACAGAGCACATGGCAAATGCGTGCCCTGCACAATTGTGTACCAAGCTGCACAGGACACGGGGAGACTAAAAATGCAACATGGTTTGTGCAGTGTGCACCGAAAACGATAGCATCAGAATTTCGGACTGCGCGAGGTTTTGTTCTGTCAACAGCTTACATCGTTGGTCTTGCACTTGATGTCGTTGGTATGTTCTAAATCCAGCAGGACGTGTTGCGTTCCACAACTGTGCAGGTGCAGCCTGGGTCACCAAGCAGAAACACGGTTGCTGCGTCACAGATTGTCAGTCTCAACAAGTTACAAATGCTTCCATTGCAGCAATGCGAAACTCGATACACTGGTTATGCCATGGGTCAGGACTGAGTCCAGATATCGGTTAGCATCATGGAAGAACACCACAATCCATGGCAAAGGAAAGACCCTTGTCCCCATGTTGCAAGAGTCCACAAGGTACACTGGAGCACAAATTTCCGAGCAGGTATAAGAGCAAAGACCTTGTTGCCTTCCAGGGGAGGGGGGGGACCAAACATATGTGTGCTCCCTGTCATTACCGAATTGTCAACAGACAGAACATTGACAGGTGGAAGTGTGGGCTGCAGGATTCAGATCCAGGCTTGACACATACACGAGGTAATTGCACAACACGCCCAGTCTACAAGCACTGCCTGTCCACAAACTTGGCTCTGGTTTGTGTTCCTGAGCATATCACTGTGCTTAGCATGTTTTGATTGCATTGTGCAAGCAGTTTCGGGTTTGTTCATCCAAACTCACATTGGCTGTTTCACTACAATCTATGGCATCGCCTTTGTGCACTTATAAGCTTGAACATCTATTTGCAGGTGCCTCCGGCAGCATGGGGCACATCCGACAGGTGAGCAATGCACTCAGGGTTTGTGATTTCTGCTATTGTTAGGCACTTTAGGTGTGGTCAGGTTAGGTAAGGGACTTTCTAGTTTGCCCTACAACACTGCTCATTGACATGTACTATGCTATCTTTGTGGGAGGGACATTGCCTCCCATTGACAATGGAACAGCAACCTGTTGTTCCTGCTAGCTGCTATTTGGTATTTGCTGTCCCTATCTCCAGGGAAGGGATTCCTGCCTCCCAAATTTTGTGATTTATCCACCCCCTCTATCATGAACTGACATCCTCCTATTTTTTTTGTCTATGGGTTGTGAGATGTCCAGGACTGTCTGTGTGGTCCATAGATTACTGGAGTCTCAATGTGTCTCAACATTATTTTTCAGCTGCAATGATGTGTTATGCCGCGTTGGGGGTGGAGCGCATTTGCTCATTTGCACATGGACGGAACAACTACTGGTCACCTTGCCAAGATCTTGGTGCCAGCGGCGTGTAGGAGCTTTGTGTAAGCAGAGTTCACTGCATCGTACTGGAAAAACAGTTCTAGTTGGAAAAGACAGTACAGCCTGGCTGGAGAGGGTATTAGTGTATCAATGACAGTAGCATGAAATCGACACACTGGTCAAGACACATGTCTCGATTGAGCTCAGATCATCAGCAAGCATCAGTTTGTTTGGTTATCCATAAGGACCTCGCAGTGCAAAAAGGCTCACAAAATGCGCAGGTGAGCGAACAGACAGCAAACAACCCAGAGACACCTCACTGGTCAGTTGGAGATGCAGGGATGTTTCTGCAAAACAGAAAATGTGTCCTGCAGCAGGCACTCTCTAGCGAAATCTACAGCATTTTGTTGCACACTGGGGAAGATGTTGCAGAAGCCTCTGGCAAGAACAGGAAGCAGTACACAGCATAGTGCAGTTTAGGGAGCAGGAATGCGTGGCCTGTGGGCCCAAGCCAGTATTGTATTGATGGCTGATGCAGCGACCTGAATCTGAATTTTTGGGTGCAGAAATGCGAGGTGGTCGATTTGACGTCGCCTGGCATGGAAGACGATGACGACGTTGTGCTGGTGTCGGAGGTGATTGGAGACTACCCAGAGCTTGTGGCTGCTCGGGGACCCAGCCGCGTGGTGCTGGTGCAGTCGCTGGAGACGCCCTTGAAGGACACGACAAGCAAACTTGTCCAGAGGAGGCCACAGTCGAGCAGCCCACCAGAGCCAATGGAGACGAGTATTGCCCAAGAAAACCGATTCAAATGTGCTGTCTGCTGGGAGAGTGAAGTGGAATTGTCATGCACACCTTGCGGGTGGGTACTATCAGACAACATGTCAATTCTGCACAACTGCTTTCTGTGTTTGAGCAGAGTATTCAGTGGACGAAAACTGTGTATTTGCGCTGTGTACTCCAGAAGAACTTGTTTTTGTTCTGTTCGTGTTGGAACTGGACAAGCCGTATACTTGACAATGGTTATGCCATCAGTTTGACCAGTTTCACTACTGGTAGTGGCGGGGGTGGAATTTTTCATAGAGCAGTAGTTAGTAAATGCCACTGCACCATTTTGGGGCAAAAGCATTGTTGGAGGAGCACAAGGGCAGACCACACTTTCTGGTGCTATTCAGATTTCATGTAGCATCAGCAGCATGAAATGTTGTGGAACACAATGTGCTGGTGGACTTCTGAACTTGTCCTCAACTCCCAAACCCACACTGGAGAGTGGGCTCACTGGCCCTCTGTATTTTGCACCTTGCATTTATTGGTGCTGCATTCTGCATGTATGGGCACCGTGGCTGTTTTTGCCAGTTGTCTGTGTTTGTGGTGAGCTGGGTGTGGGCAAGAGGCTGTGAAAGTGAATGGGAGAGGAGACTGCAAGGTAAACAGTTTATCTGTGGCAAGCTCCTAAAGGCTGTTGATTAATTGTATACATCTTGTTGGCCCCATCAAGACTGCCATTGAGGCGGGTGTCAGAGGTGCACGCCATCCTGTGCATTCACAAACTGCCCCTGTAACCCTACCACAGCAGTGCCAGCAGCCAACCTTGGCACTGGAGCAGCCAATTGTAGTATGCGCTGCTCAATTGGGTCCAGTACAGGATCACAATTGGACCAAACAGGAGGAACTCTGGTATTATGAAGGCGGGCACGATAGCGATGGGAGCATAGTGTAAGTGCAGTATTTGTGACGGGACTTGCCTGACACCTGTCTGTTGTGGCAGGCACATCTTCTGCATTAGCTGCATCGAAATGGCTGTTCAGCGCAAGAAGCGCTGTCCCCAGTGCAGGAAAGGCTGCCAGAAGCGGCAACTGCGCCGGCTGTTCGTCTGACGGGCCCAACTCCGCCTGTTAAAGCGTGTGGCTGGCGTTCTGACAAGCTGCAGCATCCTGCTTGTGGAAGCAGCGGAACAAGGCTGCACTCGCAGCGCAACGCAGCCAGTCTTCAAACCGATATCTGGCGAGAGTGACTGGGGTGGTCCGTCGCCCAAGGGGTGGTTTGTACCACTGCCAATGCCATGGATGAGACTGAGGCCTGCACCATGGAGGACTACTGCGGGAGCTGCAGAGCTTTGTTGGACTGGGCTGCCGTGACTGTCATTCAAGGAGGCAGTGGTGTCTGCTGTCAATAATGGCTGGCTTGCCAAGCCCTGAGGGTACCTGCTGCTCATGCGCCCAGCTGTGGGCTGGTTGGGTCAATAGTGGTGGCTGCCTGCTGGCAATGGTGAGGATGGACAATTCTTCCAGGGCTCCTGTTGTGGCAGGATGAGGCTGGGCTGGCGCTGAACAAAATTTCATGTTGGGGGATTGGGTTATTTGGATTGCGTGGTTTGGAAGGAGCATGGGAAAGTGAGATTGGCCTTTTTCTCTTCGTTAGATTCAGGGGGTTAAAGCTGCCATGGAACGGCTGTCGTGGCACTACCGGCTTGTTGTGGTTGCAGCTGTCTGTGAGGCAGGCAGGCAATTGTTTCACACATGAACTCTGCCAGATATCGAGGGTTGTCGATACAAATGCATGTGTTTGGGATGGTGGCTGTTGTTGTCGCATTCGTCATGAGTCAGGTTCACGGTCCCAAGCATAATTCCCTGTGAACAATGTCATCAACACATGACGGACAGCTGAGCTTGCCCTGAAAGAGGCAATGTTGGGGACGTTATGCTGCCAATATAAGCTCTCGCTGAAACTTTGAGCCCGTTGCTACTTTTCAATCACGTTAGTCACCAGGAGCTGACGACTTCGGCAGAGAACTTGCAGCATTTGTCTGAAACCAAGGGCTGTTTACAACACAACTGTGTCTTCAACCTGTTCGGCGCCCAGGCCCCACCGAAATCCCGTGTGCTTGTCAAAAGCTGGCAAGGGTTCTGCGGCCCTCGGGGTCCACGCCATCTACACCTTTGGGCCTTGTAGTGTGGGGCATGAGGCAGCAGTGGACTGTTCTGGGGAAGACGAAGATGGGTCGCGGATGCTTGTCTTGTGCGGCGCAGGCAAGCAGCTCGATCATGCTCAAGGCACTGGCTCGCCCATAACTAATGGCGCGGATCAGCGACTAGCACTCGCTCAAAAAGGCGACGAGTCCTGGTCTAGTTGGGCGCGTCCATGAATGCATTTGTCACAGCATGACTAACCCTTATCATTCACATCTTCAGGCAATGTCGGGGCTGGAACCAGGCCAGCTTGCAGTATGGCATTGATGCTTTGTTGCAGCAACGCAGCACGAATTGGTGCACAGCCAGCTTTGCAATAGGACAGCATAGTTCAGTTGTGCATACAGAGAAGTATGTATTTTTGTGCGTTCCGTCAGACTGCATTATCATTTCAGTGATGTTCGTCTTGCCAGCAATAGAAACACAGTTCCTGGTCGTGCAGCAAGCAACCTGCATTTGGCGGGGATGTTACTGTGAGTTCATGAGTTCGTTTGGGGAATGTGCGCTGCAGGTGCCTTCACGGATCAAGCGATGCTGCAGGGCACTTTGCTGGCTTGCCCAGCTGATATTGTCTGACGTGCCACGATCACAGATTGTGTTGCTCTGCCGATGCAGGCGAATTTGTGCTGTGCAGGCTGGTTGCGCCATGTGTTAACACACACACTTGGACCCCAGAGCTCAGTGCCCGAAATGTCACTGTCCCACTGTTAGAAAATGGCCGCTTTCCAGAGCGTGTGGCATTGGCCATACTGCCAATCAATGGGGTAACAAAATCAGTGCGCTCCACATTGAACTTGCGCACATGGTCCGGGCCATGGAACGTTGCAGCTGCGGCAATGTGGATGCTGGTTTTGCAGGACGCTGTTACACCAACAAATTGAGCGGATGTGGTTGCAATATCGGCCAGCGAAAGGGCTGGCCTGGAGGTTTTCTACCGTTCGCGAGTTTGGTTACTCGTGTGGAGACGCTGCTGAGGCTTGACAGGGACGTTTGATATGGCCGGCACAGTTGGTGGGTATGCTATCAGAGCTTTTCCATTCATGGCCACAGTTGCCAATAATGAGAATCGTAGCTTTTGAAATCATGTCGAGAGGATCATGGCGATATCAATCCCAGGGAAGCCAACGCCGCGTTGTACCATCAGCAAATGTGCCAGCAGTTGCTGAAGTGGCATTTCTGTTGCATTGTTGGTGATGCCCACTGGCCTCTTTGAACTCCACAGCGGAACAGCCCCCCATATATTCTTGCAAGGAGGGTTGTTCCAATGTATGGCACGCTTTCTGGACTTAAAAGTCCATCTCAACATACGCACCTGGAGTGCGCTTATGCTGTTTTCCATGCATGGTCATGTGCATCTATATGGCTTCGGCTTCATTCCTGCTGCCGTTAGCAAATAGCACTGCAAAGTGGGACGGGCCAAGTTATTCGTGTTCTTGGGACGGGGATGCCCCGTTGTATGTTGTGGTTTGTTAGGATCCTCAAGGCATCATGACGTACAAACTTGTCACAGGGTACGACTTCATCCATTAGGGAAGCTGACCTTTCACACTGTGGACCCAGCTTGCAGCCTTTGGACAAAAGAACTGTTGTTAAGAAGCCCACTGTCTATCCTCAAAATAGCCTAGTTGCTCCCAGGCCTGGATGGGCAAGTGCATGGGTGTGATAAACTCGGTACACAAGACCCTGCATTCCCCCCGCTACCTGACAACATGCACACAGGCTGTCGGCTGCAACAGATCCCAGGTCTCAGCCCCGTGCTGCCCAGGCAGCAAGTGACTCGAAACTGCGAGATCAATGCAAGGCAAGCTGCGACATGGCCGACGCATCTGTGAGATCCCATCCACAACTCACAGGACACTCTCCTGCAGCCAATGGATTGTTACAACATACAAAATGGGGATGCAAAACGGGTCAACGCGCACACACCAGGGTGGGGCGCCGGGGTCCCTTGCACGCCCGGCAAGAAGGTCAAAAACCCCGCCAACAGCCAGGCGAGGTGGGGCGGGCCGCATCATGGCCCCCTGCCAGCGTGCAATTCCTCCACACCCCCGGAGTAGGGCTCGGCCCTCTCTCTCCCACAACTGCTGCCCGAATCCTCCGTCCCTCTAAAGCAGCCCTGGACACTGTTTTCTTCTCCTCCAGGCCCACCAGGACCCAGACGCCCCCATCCTCCAAATCCCGCCCCGCCCACATAGCTCGAATCAAGCCGACCACCCGATCCTCAGATCTTCCCCCTGGGCCCCTTCTCGCCGCCCTTCTTGGGTCCCGCCTGGATGGGCAGCGTCACGTCCTTGGAGCCCTTGGCGCCCCACACCAGGATCGACGCCCCGCCGCCCAGGAACAGCACCGCCCTCAGGGCCTCCCGCCGCGAGAGCGACGTGCCGGCCCTCTCGAAGAACTCCGCCTGCAGCGCGGGGTACCGCTTCTCGTCCTCCTGGCCGTACATGTCCCACGATCCAAGCGTGTTCTCCAGGTCGTCCAGGTCGAAGTACTGGTTCTCCTGGCCGTATTTGGCCTGGGGGGCCAGGCGGGCGGGCCGTGCGTGGCGGGATGCGCGCACGCGCGGGGGCAGCACCGGCCTGGCAGCTGATCCGCGGGCGAAGGCGGAGGCCTTGGCGGAGGAGGCGGCCATGTCGGAGGCTGCTGGCGCGCACGAGGGCGGGGGAGCGGCGAGGCGACGCGGCTGTATGGCGAGTGGGTCGCGGGAGGCAGGGCTGCTCTACAAAAGCAGGCGCCAGATCGTCAGGGCAGATTGAGATCTTGGGGCGGGGAGGCGACGAAGGGGGGGGCCTCGCATTCCCGGGGCCAGGGATTGGAACTTTTTGGCCCGGGGCCCCACGGGCCCAGGTCCAAGAAGACCCTTCCATACCCTGCAAAACGCTTATTTTTTCCGCGGATTGGGCGCCGAACGCAGCGGGGTTCAGAGTATTGAAGTGCATGTGGGAATCTGTCTGCAGCCTTTTTCAGCACCGCTTTGGCTGAACTTTGTGCATCTTGAGTAGGAGAAATTGTGCCTCGTCAGATTTGATCAGACCAAGTAAGTGCATTCATTTCGCAGACAAATTATCTTCTTTTGAAACCGAGGTGTCCAAGAAAGAAGCGGAACAATTGCCAGGAAGAGGAAGCCCCGTCCTTATGGAGATTTTCGCAAAGTTGTTGAGATAGTGTTCAGGTCACCATTGGTGACTCAACAACAATGGTACTTATCAAAAGAATTAGAATCTTATTGATACTACTTAGTGGGCGACCCGTAAGGTCTATAAGTGGGGAGTGTCGACAACCTCAGCACCTTCACTAATCTAACCGTTATTCAATGGGCTGGTGCATACTATGCACTGCATAGTAAGGCAGGGCGACCCCAAAATCATTATTTAGGGGTGCATTCATTCGGCAAATTAATGTTAAGAAGTTTAGATTTGAAAGCATCAATCGGTTGCAAGTCCATTCTACAACATAATTGCATCATCTCTATTTCATTGAGAGATGTTTAAAGACGTGTTTGCTTAAGAAAGTGTGTCAATAGACATCGTTTTGGCCACTATTTGGCCAACCTATGTATTTTACGAATAGGAACCTTATTCATGATGGAAGGGGGCTACCCCTATCATGTTCTCCCATGCCACACGATGAGATAGTGCTCGGGTCACCAATAATGAGCCCATGATGGCTCAATTATGCGCCACTCAGTTGCGACAAGCTGGTGCGCCGTGAGGCCCAGAGTTCCGCAGCATGGGACTCTAGTACAAGGGAGCCATGGCTGGTCAGGGAGGAATCGTATGGGCAGTGAGGCCAATATGGCAGAATCGGCGGCCAGGCTACAGCGACAAGGCCCAGATAACATGACAACATCTGCGATACGCTCTTGTAACCCAGCCCAACTAAGCAGCGCAGCCAGAGAAGCGCATCTGAAGCTGCAAGAGCCGTCGGGGTTCAGCGCCACCCCCGGAGGGCGACTGGCCCCCGTAAAGTCAAGCGGCGCAAGCCCGCCGGCAAGCGACCCACGCAACACACTCAGAGACAGACAGGGGAGGACCCTGTGGTGCGAAATCAGAGCAATGCTCATTGTTGCGTCGGGTGGCTCTGTGAGCATCCATGGGCCGGCGATAGAGGTGGCCCCTTCTGTCCGTCCACAATAGAATTTAGTTGGCTCTGTTAAAATTCTGTACATTCAACGGAATCTGTGAGCGGGCCACAGAGAGAAAACGTGTTTTACAGAAACGGGCAGGGCCATACTGACATCAGCATAGACGGCTACAGAAATCCACACAGCCTTCCAGAATGGAACCACGTGTAACAGAATCCGCGCTGCCCTCTACGGATGACTGGCCTCTGTAACGGAACCGCTGACCGGACCACAGAAGTTGACAGAATTCCGTCAAAGTTTATGGAGCAACACAGACCTCTCAAACGTATTGAACCCCAGTACAGAAATTCCATATGCATAGCGAACGTGGGGTGCGATTGCCTGGGTCTTTGGTAGATTCGGCAATGCACACTGCTCGCCCCCGTGGCATATCCATGTGCCCCTTCAAATCGTTGTTATCCGTCACGCAGGCAGAATGTACGCCCAAAGAGTACATTCGATTGGTTGGCATGTGATGTGATACCGTGAGGCGAAATGTTGCCGGGGCCGCTCACGCCGGTGAGTGGATGGCGGGTGGGAAGCGTGGTTGCCTGCCTGCCAGAGCCGAGCACCGCCATGGTTTGGTCGGAAAAGCCGGTTGTTACCGTGGTGTGCATGGCGGTTGTTCTCTGAGATCAGGTCGGGTGGTGTGGGGTTGTTGTCTCGGCCGGGCCGGAGTAACGCTCACATGGTCGGCCGTAGAAAGCCACCCCAGCGGGCTCGCAGTGCATGGGCAAAATATTGGGGCCGCGAACTGTTGTTTCGTTCACCGGAGCACCCGCCGGCTGCTGGTCCGGAGTCATTGTTGTTGGGTTCACTGCGCATGGGCGGTTGTTGCCCCGAGACTGGTTAGTGCCTGAACTGTCGCTCGCCAGAGTAAATCAGGTCGCGGCATTTGCGCCAACGCTGTAATTGTGCATGTTTCCGATCATGTCGTGGCGGGCGGGGGTTGCCGTTTACTGGCCGAGTACTAGCCAAGGCTTGGCTAGAAAAAGGCCATCGGCCGCCAGTTTGTAGTGCGTGCATGGGGTGGCTACCGTCGCATCATGTCGCAGGGAAGGGATTGTTGTTCCGCTTTGGGTTTGAATATCAATCGCGTTCTCAAGCAGCGGGAAAAGCATTGTTGTTGGGGCTTGCACGCGTCCATGGCTGCCACGCCGTTCAAGATCACATGTCGCATGTGGGGCGGGGATTGTCGCCACTCGGTCATCGAGTAACGCCGCAGGTCTTCATAGGGAAAAGTCATTGTTGTTGGGTTTCAGTGCAATTGTTGTTGTTGTTTTGTCCCAGATCATGTCATAAGGGGATTGCTATTCGCCGGTCGAGTAACGGCCATGGTTTGCCGTAAGTCGTTGTTGGCGGGTTTTGCAATGTGTACGGGTGGTTGCCGCTTGTCCAAGATCGTCGTGGTGGGGGCCGGGATTGAAAGATGCCGTCGGTACCGAACAAGCCTGGTAAAGCGTTTGCAAGGAGTACCAGCCATGGGTTGGCCGGGAAAAAGCAACAGGTTGCGTCCCCTGTCTAGCAGGGAGTACCGGCCGGGGCAATATTTAGGTATATTTATTTATTCATACATATTTATTTATGATGGCATGGATTGCAAATAGGTAGACATACATTGTTTATACATGTATTAATATTGCACCTCGTTATGGCTATTGTTGTGGCCCGTATCTAGAGGCAAAGGTTGCTGGACACAGAGAAAAAATCCGCTAGGCAAAAATTGCCACCAACAAAAACTGCCGCTGACCAACGGAATGCTACCGGAATCTCAAAGTCCATGACGGATGGCAACTGAACGCCAAGAAAGGTAGCGAAAAAAAAAGCGCTTTTACAGAAACCGCTGGCTGCAAACACCCCTTGACGGACAGCTCCAAAGCCAAAAAAATGAAAGCTGATGTGGCATGAACGGCTACGGAAACCTCGCCCCGGCAAAGTGACGGAAAATCGACGGACGGAATGTTTGTGCTCAAAAAAAATACAGAAATAAAATATCAGAAACAAAGCTGAGCGGCCATGGTTAGCCGGCGATGGAGGGGTGCAACCGCATGGTGGTTGAGAGTACCCGTGCTGGGGTAGGTCCCTTCCGCCAGGGGAAAACCACTGCCTCCCCTAGGCCTTTCAATCTGCCCGCAAAGTTTCTGGTCGGGGGGCGTGGTGGAGTAGTTGCCGACGGCCTTGGCATCCTCCGACCTCAGCAAATTCTCAGCCCTTGCCAGGAAGCGGAAGTGGTCATTCCCGAGCTACTACCGGAAGAACACGTATACCGCCCGATACTATTGGACGTCCATGCACCCCTGCCTCAGCAGCCTCACGTGCACCTCCGTGGAGTGGTTGCCAATGAGCGTTGCGAAGGTGGGCTTGTGGGTGGTCTCGAATCTGGACTGCTCCCCTTCGGATCTGTCCAGGTTGTACTCGACCCAGCCAAGGAGGTCCTCGACGCCCTCCCCCTCCCTCCACTTGCGGTACATCTCCTCGACTGTTGCCTTTGCCACGGGATCCAGCCAGTGATAGTCCACGACAACCACTGCCCGGGTCAAGTTG